CCAGACATCCAATTGCACCTCTGCTGCTCCTGCACGCAAGCGTGTCGTCAGCTGTCCCTCCATTAAAGCTCGGGTGAAGAAGCTGTTACGCTCCGCGGATTAGGCCCCCATACGCCACCCGCCAATACTTCGAGGCCAGCGTTCGAAACCCCGAAGCTAGTCGAGAGACTCATGGTCTTTCCAGCTCGTCAATAACCCACATGCCTATCGTTTTTGCCACCCGTACTTTCGACGAGATTTACACCATGATCGTACTTTATGCCCACCAATTCTATGCCTTATGCGGTCCTGGCCATAATATGCAGTGACCATCGGTTTGCCGAGCTGGCGGCTCGTATATTCTTATGCACCATCCTCGTACATCATTGTCATCATCATCAGCATCGACCCCGAACAGTTGAAGGACATTTTCTTAGAGGCCGAGGCTTAGGGTGGCGAAGAGGGCAGAGGAGGGAGGGCCAACCGCATTATCTGACTGGACTTTTCTTGACCTTCACGGACTTTGTTTTGTATCATGATATATTCACGTTGTATCCCGCTCCATCGTCGCAACCGCATTCGCATTCACTGCTCAGTACTGCTTGCATTCTGTTCTCACTTTGCTTTCGGTACATTTTGTTTATTCACGAATTTATGGGAGGAGTTCCTCGAGTGCTTTCACGAATAGTATAGAGCAGAGGCGTTGTTGTATTCTTGACACAACTTGTCGAAGTACTTTATCGAAGTCGCACTTGGTCTCTTGTTGTGGCGACCTCGAGGCGCTGTGGCCCAAACAAGGTGGCTTACGCCATCCCCCGCAATAAGCGCCGTGCACCTGGACCTGAACACCGTGGCTCGTCCGCACCACAGCCTGCATTGCACACCTCGCGCTCTCGTCCGCTATGGATCTCCCATCCTCAAGAGAACTAGAGCTGGAGACCCTGCTCCGGCAACGGGATGCTCAGGTCACTGAACTCACCGTAAGTTTTGAAACATTTCACTTCCCTGACCTGTCATGAGCAGGCAGGGTCATCCTCGCGCGTCGGAATCTCACGCTCAACGTCATGTCGTTCAACATAACAGGACGAGGTCACACAATTACGACAGTATCTTTCGAAACAACCCGGTCCATCTACTTCTGACCCAGTCTCGTTGCCACCTGCTCTCGTGTCGCTGCTATTGCCTCACTTGAATGGACCCGCGAATAACAACGCGCAGACGAGCTCGAGCACGGCCACCACAGCGTTGACCCAGCGGGCTAAGCTGCTACAGGAGGAGAATGACGAGCTCTATGAGATGTTGAAAACGGGGGAGACGGGGAGATTGAAGGAAGAGGTTCGGGGGTTGAAGAGGGCTGTAGGCAGGCTGGAAACTGCACTAAGAGGTGCGTCTATAGTTGGCTTTGGTTAGCGCGCGTGGGGAGTAGTTCTAACCGTCATGTTCCATTCATGTTATAATTTCCAGAGTCACACCAAGTCATTAGAACCCTTTCGTGAGTGTTGATTCTTCGTTATGTTGATCGCTTCTGACCCCCTCCTGTCTATCTCCAGGGAGGAGCTAGACAAGTCCTACGAGACCATACTGTCTACTGGGCGCCACCATAACGCGCATGCTCACTCCCAAGCACCGCGTCAATCCCATCGTCAATCCCCCGCTCTCTCCCAAACCAACAGCAACGGGACCTCTAAACCCTTACCCACAGGGCCTCGCGCTCACAAGAAACCCCGCTTAGACCCTCAAGTTCAAGCGCAACCCCAAGCGCAAGCACAACCCTCACCATCCTCATCCTCCTCCACCACAACTCTCCCGCGTATTCAGACTCAAACTCAGAACAGCAACAACAACAGCAACCCGACAGCCAATAGTTCCAACTCCGCAAACACGCGGCCTGCCGTGGAAACCGCATCGGTAGAGCGATCTCCTATTGCGGCTTCTCCAGACCACCGCAAGGTACCGGGCGGAATGAAGGTCGAAATAAATGAGGATACTGAGGACAGTTCATCGTGGGCTCGTGAACCGGCGCTTCCTCGCGACCGTGGACGGAATCGTGAGCGAGAACGGGATAAGGATAAAGGCAGAGAGCGGGACAAGGAGCGCGATCGCGACAGAGATAGATTATCGAAACGGAATGGCGGGCCTGGTCACGGTTCCGGTGGCGTTGGAGGGGGCGGTGGTGGAGGTAGTGGGGGTAGCGGCGGCGGAAGCGGTGGTGGAGGTGGAGGGGGTCGAGGAGGTAGCGGAGGTGCGAAAGGTGGCAATAGGGGTGTCCGTGGTTCGTTTAGCAGCGCGGTGGATCGGACGTTGGCCCAGAGAATGGGAATGGGACGTTACTCTGGACCTGGCTAGTTCAAGCTCATGATCATGATCATGATCATCGTTGACATATGGACGGACATACTTGAAGTTTTGCATGTTTTCTCGTAGCTTCGCTGAGAAACTAATGTATCCCGGTATGTACGAGTATCCTTCTCTGCTGTAGCATAGCTAACTTATCTTGTCTCCCTCTCCCTTGCTTCATCTTCTTTTCTTGGATGCCCTTGATCTGACATACCATCGGCACGTTGCTTGTACCCGTGGCTATGCGTTGCACTGACCAGTTTGTACTCATCATCCCTTCTCGTTATCGTTCTGCTGTGAAAATTCTGTATCCCACCCAGCCAGGTCCTACCTCATATTTATTCACGACAACAGCTCCTTTTCTTGTTCACGCTTGACGTGTATCTTGCTCACCACACCTGCTCCGCAATACATAACATTCCAACCTTTCTAGAATTCCAGCAATAAACGTCCAAAGCATCAATGTTACTCGACAAGTTCAGCGTCGATCTTCGTCTGTCCTGGTGGCGGCGGCCCCCAGCGCTCAGCACCGGTGTTCCCAGTTCCGCACAGCTTGGTGGCGTAGGCCGACACACCCACGCCTGTCATATTCATGCCACATTAGAGCATTACAGGTCCTCTTTGCCCCGGATCCTTTTACCCCCAGTACCCCTGCGCCCCTTCCCAGCTATGACGCTGCCCCGTAAAAATTCAGACGTTGTTCGGGATGGTTGTCGCCGCTATGACAGGAAGGTTGTTCCAGTCTTTTCGACGGTTACTGTAGTAGAGGCCGCTGGTCAGGGGACCACTGAACCCAGGAGTTCCTACAGATCAGGCGCGATCTCCGAGCGACTTTTGTGCACTTGGGGACACGGACGGTCGGCGATTTCGTGGTAGCGTCACCCTAGTACGGTTGCCCTGGTGTATCAGGTCTAATTTCAGGATTCGCTCTTCGGCTTGCGTCCTCGACCTTCGCAGGAACGTTGACAGGTTCTCGGGGTCCCAGATTACGTAATCGACGCGTGCCCTTTCGCGTGCCACTCGGGCCACACAAATGCTCTGCCGAGTTCCAGCTCCACTGTTTTTGGGGCTACACTCCCTCAGTAAAATAGTAGAAATACCGCAACAATTTATGAAGGCTTGTACAATGATGTAGATAATTTGAGGGCTTAGTGCACAATTATCCAACCTAATATAGGCTCATAAAACAGCCAAACACTGGTCTGTACTGCTGTACCACACCCAGAGCTCCTGCTGCTCATCTCTTTACAAACCAGAGTGTGTGTTAAATATTAATGGGAGCCATTCAGAACCTTTTGGTACTATACAGTATTGTTATGGGTCATAATAGGTTATANACTCAATAGTGCAGTGTGTGA